GGCTAAAATGGTTGATTTTTCCTGTGTGTTTTTCGATGTGTTTGGCCTTCTCGCTTTTTCCGCTTCCCCACGCTCCAACACGGCCCAAGAGGCTCCCTAGATCGCCCCAGTGCTGCCCAAGAGGCCCCCAAGAAGGCCCCAACACGGTCCAGGAGGGCTCCAAGACCGCCCAAGAGGCGCCCAAGGCGGCCCAAGAGAGCACCAAGACGGCCCCAAGAGAGGCCCAAGAGGGCGCCCCAAAATTCAAAACTTAAGTTTTCCGCCGCGAGCGGGCCCCGAGAGGCCCCAAGAGGGCCCCATGAGGCCCCAAGAGGCTCCCCAGAGGCCCCAAGGAGCCCCCAAGAGGCCCCCAAGAGGCCCCAAAAAGATCCCAAGAGGCCCACAACAGCCCCCAAGAGGCTTCAAAGCTGCCTCCCAGAGGCCCCCGAGAGGCGTACCACGAGATCCCAACACAGCGGTCTCCCCCTCTCATTATCCCTTCTCTTTGTCGTCGCCTTCTTCGTCGTCGTCGTTGTCGTCGTCCCCATCCTCTTCCTCGTCTTCATCCTCCTCCTCCTCCTCCTCCTTCTCCTCATCCTCTTCAGCTCTTCCGGTTCAGCTCAATCGGCACAGGACTGGGGAGGAGAAACAGGAGGAGAAGCAGGAGGAAGGGGGGAAAAGAAACGGGCACAGAAGAATACGAGGACAAATAGAACGAGGAGCAGATAAAGGAGCGCGGAGGAGAAGTAACGATCACCACCCAACTAGCAAACGAAGCAAGGGGAAAAGGATGAGGAAGAAGCAGTAGTCGAACCCGCTTCGCTTTGGATTTCCTCGCAACTCCGACTGCGGAAGTGCATTGCTCCATAGCGTTCCCGCTTTCTTCGCCTGAGACATTCTTGCAGACCTTCCGAGATGCGCATGTGCATGCGCGCCCAGGGCTGCGCAAACGATTTGCGTATACGTGTACAGACCCTTGCACGCGTACATTCATATTCACAAATGCAACGTGTACGTATGGGCGCAGATGCGCGCGCAAGTACGCACGCACGCACTCCGCTAGCTTGCACGCACTCCGCGTGCAAGGGTATGTACACGTATACGCAAATCGTTTGCGCAGCCCTGGGCGCGCATGCACATGCGCATCTCGGAAGGTCTGCAAGAATGTCTCAGGCGAAGAGAGCGGGAACGCTATGGAGCAATGCACTTCCGCAGTCGGAGTTGCGAGGAAATCCAAAGCGAAGCTGGTTCGACTACTGCTTCTTCCTCATCCTTTTCCCCTTGCTTCGTTTGCTAGCTGGGTGGTAATCGTTACTTCTCCTCCGCGCTCCTTTATCTGCTCCTCGTTCTATTTGTCCTCGTATTCTTCTGTGCCCGTTTCTTTTCCCCCCTTCCTCCTGCTTCTCCTCCTGTTTCTCTTCCTCAGTCCTGTCCCGATTGAGCTGAACCGGAAGAGCTGAAGAGGATGAGGAGAAGGAGGAGCAGGAGGAGGAGGAGGAGGAGGAGGAGGAGGAGGGGGAGGAGGATGAAGACGAGGAAGAGGATGGGGACGACGACAACGACGACGACGAAGAAGGCGACGACAAAGAGAAGGGATAATGAGAGGGGAAGACCGCTGTGTTGGGATCTCGTGGTACGCCTCTCGGGGGCCTCTGGGAGGCAGTTTTGAAGCCTCTTGGGGGCTGTTTGTTGGCCTCTTGGGATCTTTTGGGGGCCTCTTGGGGGCTCCTTGGGGCCTCTGGGGAGCCTCTTGGAGCCTCATGGGGCCCTCTTGGGGCCTCTCGGGGCCCGCTCGCGGCGGAAAACTGAAGTTTTGAATGTTTGGGCGCCCTTTTGGGCCTCTCTTGGGGCCGTCTTGGTGCTCTCTTGGGCCGCCTGGGGCGCCTCTTGGGCGGTCTTGGAGCCCTCCTGGACCGTGTTGGGGCCTTTTTGGGGGCCTCTTGGGCAGTACTGGGGCGATCTAGGGAGCCTCTTGGGCCGTGTTGGAGCGTGGGGAAGCGGAAAAAACGAGAAGGCCAAAAACATCGAAAAACACACAGGAAAATCAACCATTTTAGCCTCTCGGGGCTCTCTTGGGAGGCCTCTTGGGGGTCTTTGGGGGCGTCTTGGAGGCCTCTTGGGCAGTCTTGGGCCCATATTGGGCGTCTTGGGCCGATCTTTGGGTGTCTCGGGGCCCTCTTTGGCCGTCGTGGGGGCTTCTTTTTTCGCGTCGGACTCGCAGGACAGACCTGCCTGGGGGGTCCAGGAGGACCGGAGATCCACGGAAGCACTCTGCAGGAGCGCCCCAGAGGCTCGGGGAGGCCGAAATTCGTTTGGGGGGGGGGGCACCGTGTGCCGCTTTTCCGGGGTCCCCGGCCTTGTAAATATATATATATATACATATATATACATATATACACATATATATATAGGAATATATATATATAGGAATATATATGTGTGTATATATACATGTATATATATATATATATATAGATTCTCATACGCACCTCTCCGAGGGAGTAGAGCTCAGAGGCGATTAATGCGCACGTCGTCCGCGATTTTTCTGGCCATTTCGCTCGGGACATCCTCGAAATTCTGAAAATCGGTGGCACCCCTCACGCAGATCGTGACGTCAGGGTCCAAAAACACATGGGAATTACAACATTTTAACATAAAACCTTCAAAAACACATGGTAATTTCAATAATTTTGACCCCGATTCTCAGATAATGGCGGTTTCGCATGAAAAATCCTCCCAAAATCGAGCCCCAGACCCCTCCTCGGAGCCTCCTGGGGGCCTCCTGGAACCTCCTGGGGCCTCCTGGGGCTTTCTGGACCTTCTGGTACCCCAGACCCCGCCTCGGAGCCTCCTGGAGTTCTCCTGGGCCTGCTGAGGCCGCCTGGGGCCTCTCGGGGCCTCCTGGGGCTTCAGAACTACATGCACACGCAGAGACACAAATCACCCCCAACACATCACACGCTAGACAAACATAACACACACACACACACACACACACACAAACCACCGACAACACACACAAAAAGCACGCACCACACAAAGCACACATCACACACACACACACAACACTCAATCCTGGGGCCTCCTGGAGCCTCTTCTGGTATCCAAGTCGGGCCTCCTGAGGCTTCCTGGGGGGCCCTGGTACACACATCGCAAGGTGTGGCAACCCCACTTGCGCTCGAGTGCGACTTCGCTGTTGCATGTCACTCCTGCTTCAAACGCCCCTTCAGCTTGTTGTATGAGCCTGGGCACACACGTGTCACTTGTATATATATATATATATATATATGTGGCAGGCAAACATGACGCCATTTATCCTGCTCGCCTTGCGGCAGCACCCCTTCACCCCGCAAGTGGACGTCTTCCACGGGTAAGCCCTAGTCTATATATACTACAATACCAGGCACTTGCGCTTGTGAGAGGGGCGAGCGATGGTCACCCGCGGCGGCGCCCCGGGGGCCCCGCCCGTGGGGCCTAGCAGCGTAGCAGGGCCTAGCAAGGTTTAGCAGTGCCTAGCATAGCAGGGCTTAGCAGGGCTTAGCAGGGCTTAGCATGGCCTAGCAGGGCTTAGCAGGGTTTAGCACGGTTTAGCAGGTTTTAGCAAGGCTTAGCAGGGCTAAGCAGGGGGGGCTGAGCATTGCCTACCAGAGTTTAGCAAGGCTTAGCAGGGCCCCGCAGGGCTCAGCAGGGTGACGCCGTCCCGGCCCAAGACAGCCCCGGGCCGGCCCATGAGGGCCCCGACGGAGGCCTGGAGAGTCTCCCGGGAGCTCCCCAGCGAGCCCGAGAGGGCCACAGGACGGACTCGGAGGGCCCCCGCGAGCTTCCACGGAGCTCCCAGGGGACCCCCACGAGGGCCCCAAGGCCGCAAAACTATCGATATTTTCGATGGTTTTTGACGTTTCCGGTGGTGCTCCTCCCACCCGCCCCAAGACGCCCACCACGGCACCGCGGGCGTCCGAAATCGGGCCCATGCTGCCGGGGGGCCTCCAAGAGAGTCCCCAAGACGGCCCCAGAGGCCCCCCGATCGAGCTCCCGGGGCCCCCAAGACGGCCCAAGAACCCCCCACAGACGGCCCCGGGACGCCCAAGAGGGTCCAGTTCGGAGCGCTTCCCCCCCCTCCGGGCCCCTCCACGACCAGCCAGGCTCCAAGACGCCCCCGAGAGGCCCCCAGAAGGCCCTGGAGGCGCTCCCACGAGGCCCCCGGGCGCTCTCCGAAGGCTCCCAGAAGGCTTCCGAGGCGCTCCCAAGAGCCCTCGGGAGGCTCCCAGAGGCTCTCCAGACTTTCCAGAGGCTCCCACAGAGCCCCACGAGGACCCCCTCCCGGGTATCGGAGGGCCCCCCCGCCGCTTCCCCGATGCCCCCGCTGGGAACAGCCTGCTACAGCACGCGGCACTGCTGGCACGGCAAGCAGCAGGCTGGACAGGAGGAAGGGGATAAGACGGAGGCGGAGGGCGAGAGGAGGGGAGGAGGAGCATGAGGACGAGGAGGACGGCAACGACGACGACGACGACGACGACGACGACGACGACGACGACGACGACGGCGACGACGACGACGACGACGACGACGACGACGGCGACGACCAAGACGACCAAGACGACGACGACGACGACGACGACGACGACGACGACGACGACGACGACGACGACGACGACAGCAGCGACGACGCCGACGACGACGACGACGACGACGACGACGACGAGAACGACCACGACGACGACCACGACGACGACGAGGACGAGGACGAGGACGAGGAGGACGAGGACGAGAAGGCCCCCGGGAGGCCCCCGGAGGTCCGCGTTGCTTCTGTTTTTGCTGGAGCTGCTGCTGCAGCTGTTGCTGCTGCTTTTGCCGATGGTGCTGGATCTGCTGCTGCTGCTGCTGCTGCTGCTGCTGCTGGCGCTGCTCCAGACGCCGTCAGGATCATGAAGCAAACAGCGCACCCTGACGCAATAAGCAGCCACGAGCGCACGCTCAATCCTCTTGGCATTCGTGGACGCTAGTCCACGGGTCAGCCCCAGTCTCTCCTACAACGCTGGGGCCAGCGCGTGCGAGAAGGGCCGGCAGTGGCAGCTGGCGCTGGCACTGCTGAGCGAGGCGCGGGAGGCGAAGCTGGAGCCCACCGTCTCTCCGGCACGGCGGGAGGCAGCGCGTGCCAAACCCGCGGGGACTCCTGTGGATCAGAGCGTGAATTACCTACCCCGCTTTCGCTTCCAGGCAAAACCAAGTCATACCACGCGCCTCCTCGTCAAGCGGCCTGACCAGTACAGGCCGTAGTTTGGCATCGCTTGGTATCTCTTGGAAGCGAGGGTGGTCAAAAGCGAGGTAGGTTTGTTTGCTCCCTAGTGGATGCACTCGCCCCTTTGCACGGCCTCACCGCGTGGTCGATTCGCCCACGCCGGCCCAGCAGGGGCCCAGAAGAGCGGCCGCGAGACGGCCCGCGAGTGCTCCAAGACGGCCTCGGCTGGTCCTCGCACCGGCCTCGCGGCCTGGGGGACTTCCGAAGCTGGCCCCCCGACGATGCAAGAGCGTCCACAGACGCCGCTCCCACGAGGGCCCCGAGACGGCACCATGCCGCCGCAGCACAGCCTGCAAGCAGCTTACCAGGGGCCCCAGGAGAGCTCCAAGAGGGCTCCAGGAGGATCGCAGGCGGGCCGCATGAGGCCTGCAAGACGGGCAGGGCTGCTCCCCGACGCTGGCCTCGAGGCTCCACGGACCTCTGCAGGTGCCTCCAAGTCGGTTCACGAGGGCCCCAAGAAGCTGCGAGCGGGCCCCGAGGGGACGCCAAAGAGGCGAAAACCATCAGTTTCCCATTGGAACTTGCACATTTGCATCATACCAGCCTTTTGCGCGGCTCACCGGGCCAGGGTACGCCAAGACGCCTCCCGCATCGCCCCAATACGACCCAAGCGGCCCCCAAAATGGCCCTAACAGCGCCCCATGACGGCCAAACAGAGCCCTCAAACAGCATCCCACGACCGCACGAGAGCTCCAAGAGATCCCCACCAGCTCCCCAGCGGGCCACAGGACACCTCCAAGACGCCCTGAGCTGGTCCCGTCACTGGCCTCCAGGTTCCACAGACCTCCGATGGTGGCTCCAACACGGTTCAAGCGGGCCCCCAGACGCTGCGACAGAGCCCAGTGAGGACGCCACAGAGATGAAGACCACAGAGATGGTAAAGCCCATGATTTCGTTGTATTCGCTGGTAGCGCGGCTCAGCGGCCCAGGATACGCCAACATGCCTTCCAAATCGCCCACTGCCAACCCAAGCGGCTCCCACGAGGGCCCCAAGAAGGCACCACGCCGCCGCAACACGGCCTTCAAACAGCTTGCAGGGGCCCCAGGAGAGCTCCAAGAGAGCTCCAGGAGGATCGCAGGCGGGCCGCATGAGGCCTGCAAGACGGGCAGGGCTGCTCCCCGACGCTGGCCTCGAGGCTCCACGGACCTCTGCAGGTGCCTCCAAGTCGGTTCACGCCATGGAACCCCCCAGGCCCTCCCAACCAGGCGGCGCTCCAGCTGCTCAGCGACGTCGGCGACCCTCAGAAGGACCACGTGGACGGAGTCCACGGGTCAGCCCTAATCTATCCTACATGGCCGGAGGAACCGCGTGCCGGAAGGAAATCCACCCAAATGACTAGACACGCTCCGGAGGCCGCCCCGACGGCCCAAAGACGGCTCCGAGCCGCTCAAGATGCCCCGAAGGCGGCCCAAGAGGGCCCCGAGACGCGCAATGATCCGGCCAAGACGCCCAAGATTGGCCCAAGACGGCCCAAGAGCTCCCCAAGACGGCCCAATAGGCCTCCCAAGAGGCCTCCCAAGAGAGCCCCGAGAGGCCAAAATCGTTGATTTTCATTGTTTTTTTTTGTCCGAGGTGTTTTGCTTCCTCGCATTTTCGGCTTCCCGACGCTCCGAACCCCCCCCAGAGGCATCCAAGACCGCTCCAAGACGGTCGAAGAGGTCCCCAAGAGGCCCCCAAGACGGTCCAAGAGGGCCCCAAGACGATCCAAGGCGGCCCCAGGACGGCCCCAGAGGCGCCCAAGACAGGCCAACGGGACCCCAAGATGGGCCCCGCACGTGCGAGAAAGGCGATTCGGACCAAAATGGCGTAGCAGGCCCCTGCGAGCCCCAGCAGGCCCCGGCGCGCTCCGAGACGCTCCAAGATGGCCCAAGAGCGCTTCGAGACGCCCCTGGAGGCCTTCGCGAGGGCCCCAAGACGGCCCCAGACGGCCCAAGAGGGCCTCCGAAAAGGTCCAAGAGCGCTCCAAGACGTCCAAGATGGCCTCCTGACGGCCCAAGAGAGCTCGAACAAGGAAAATTCGTCCCAATCCCTAGGGAAAACTTGCACTTCTGCAATTCCCACGCTTTGCGTCCGCAACGCGTCCAAGACGGCCATACAGGCCCCCAAGATCGCCCCAAGACGCCCCAATGATGCCTCCATGGGGCCCCAGAACGGTCCCGGGCGGCCCCAGGACAGCCCAAGAGGCGCCCAGGACAGCCCAAGAGGGCTCGAAGAGCGGCCCAAGACGGGCCCGAGACAGCCGTAGAGGCGACCAAGACCACCCTAAACAGCTTGACACGGCCCAAGAGGCGCCCAAGACGGACCCAAGAGGCCCAAAGGAGGCCTCCAAGTCCTTCCAAGAGACGTCCGAGAGGGCTCAGAAGCAAAATCCGTCCCAATCCCGAGGAAAGACGCACAATGTAACATAGATCGCCCCACCACGCCCTAGGAGGGCTTCCAGGGGCCCCAGGACGGTTCAAGGCGGCCCCAGGACAGCCCAAGAGGCGCCCAGGGCAGCCCAAGAGGGCGCCGCAAGACGGGCCCGAGGCAGCCCCAGAGGCGACCAAGACCGCCCTACATAAACGGCCTAAGACGGTCCACGTGGCGCCCAAGACGGCCCCAAGAGGCCTCCAAGAGGCCCAAAGGAGGCTTCCAAGCCCTTCCAAGAGACATCCAAGAGTGCTTCGCCCCAAACCTTGGGAAACCGCGCAATTTTAACATATTCGCTTTCCTCGTGTCCACGGCGCCCACGACGGCCATACAGGCCCCCAAGAGCGCCTCAAGGAGGCCTCCATGGGGCCCCAGAACGGTCCCGGGCGGCCCCACGACAGCCCAAGAGGCGCCCAGGACAGCCTAAGAGGGCTAGAAGAGGACGGGCCCGAGGCAGCCCTCCGGGCGCCCAAGACCGCCCTAAACGGCCTAAGACGGCCCAAGAGGCGCCCAAAACGGCCCCAAGAGGCCCCCTCCCCCCCAAGAGGTCAAAGGAGGCCTCCCAGCCCCTCCAAGAGACGTCCAAGAGGGCGCCCAGAAGCAAAAGTCGCCCCAAAGCGTGGGAAAACGCACAATTTGAACATATACGCTTTCCTGGTGTCCACGGTGCCCACGGCGGCCATACAGGCCATACGAAAGCGCGGTCTCGTTGCCGCCGCCCCCGCCGCCGCCGTGCTTATAGGTTCTCGGCAAAATCTTCGCCGTTCCTCCGAGAACCATTTCAGAAAGATGTCATGGACGGAGTCCACGGGCCAGCCCTAGTCAGCTACAACGCTGGGGTCAGCGCGTGCGAGAAGGGCGGGCAGTGGCAGCGAGCGCTTGCGCTGCTGAGCGAGATGTGGGAGGCGAAGCTGGAGCCCAACGTCATCTCACCCACATGGCGGGCGGAAGCGCGTGCCAGAAGGGTGGGCCCTCGAGTACACAAAATCGCCCCTCCACGGCCCCACCACGGGGTCGAATCGCCCGCGACGGCGCACGAGGCGCCCCAGAGGGGTTGTAAGACGGTCCAAGAGCGCTCCAAGACGGCCTCAGTTGGTGCCGAGACGGGCCAAGACGCTCCAAAGACCTCCGAAGATGGCCGCAAGACCGTCCAAGAGGTCCCAAAGACGTTCCGAGGGGGCCCTGAGAGGACGCCAACGAGGCACACATCGTCACATTCCCATGGGGAAACGTACATGTTCAGCATATCCGCCTTTCGCGTTGTTACACGGTCCAGGACAGACCAAGAGGCGTCCCACCCACCCCAAGACGACCCAAGCGGCCCCCAAGAGGGCCCCAAGACGGTCCAACTGGGCACGGGTCCTCAAACGGCTTCAGAGGGCGCCCAAGAGGGACCCAGGAAGCCATCCAGAGAGCCCCAAGACGGTCCAAGGCCTCCAAGACGCCCCAAAGACCTCCGAAGATGCTTGCAAGACCGTCCAAGAGGTCCCAAAGACGTTCCGAGAGGGCCCCGAGAGGGCTGCAAAGAGGCACAAATCGCCACATTCCTCGGGGGAACCGTACATGTTCAGCATGCGTATCCGCGTTTTGCGTTGTTGCACGGTCCAGGACTGGTCAAGAGGCCCCCCCAAAAAAACCCAAGACGACCCAAGCTGCCCCCAAGAGAGTCACAACAAGGTGCAATAGGGCCCAAGGACGGCCCAAGGGGGCCTTCAAGCAGCCTGAGAGGGCCCCAAGACGGTTCCAAGAGGGCTCCAAGAGGGCCCGACGAGGCTACCAAGAGGGCCCCAGGAAGCCCTACAGGGAGCTCCAAGACGGTCCAAGGCCTCCAAGGCGCCCCAAAGACTTTAGAAGGTGGCTCCAAAACGGTCCCCAAGAGGACCCAAAGACGCTCCGACAGGGCCCCGAGAGGACTGTCACATTGCGATGGGGCGCGTGCATTTTCAGTATATCCGCCTTTTGCGTTGGTACGCGGTCCAGGACAGGCCAAGAGGCCCCCCAAACCCCCCAAGACGACCCAAGCGGCTCCCGATCGCCGATAGGGCCCCAACACAGTCCAAGAGGCCCAAAGCCGGCCGAAGGGGGCCCTCAAACGGCTTCAGAGGGCCCCAAGCTCCAATAGGGCCCGACGAGGCTCCCAAGAGGGCCCCAGGAAGCCCTACAGAGAGCCCCAAGACGGTCCAAGGCCTCCCAGACGCCTCGTGACGGCCCAAACGAGCTTCAGAAAGTTCCCAAACGGCAACAGAACGGCCCAAAAGGGCCCCTGAAGGGCTCCCAGAAGTTCCCCAAAAGGACCATTGAGAAGGCGCGCAGACGCCAAATAAAAGAGCGATCGGTACAGTAGAAAGCTTTCAGCCCAAGGCTCCCAAGAGCGAACGGTGACACAGTAAGCTCTCTAACCCGAGGCTCCCGAGAGCGAGCCGCAACGTCAAAAACTCTGAAACTGGAGCCCGAAGCTATCATCATTCCCTCAATGACAGGACAAGTGCGTGGGCCAATCGCTTTCTCTGCTTCCAGCGGCGTCGGCACTGCCTCTGGGGCCCTGTGGGCTCTGGGCTTCCAAGACGTCACAGAGACAGCCTTCGGTAATGTCAGATACGGTCCAGGGCTTGGGCCCCCCCGCCCCTCCCCCCCAATGCTGATGCCATTGGCCCCCCCCCCCCGCGCGATGGTCCCCACCGCGCCCCCCCCTGTGGGCGTGGCGTGGTGCTGCGCTGCGGTGCCCCCCTCCCCACCCCTGTGGATGTGGTGTGGTGCTGTGGTGGTTCAGAGGTGGGCGTGGCGTGGTGCTGCGCTGCGGTGCCCCCCTTCCCCCCCCTGTGGATGTGGTGTGGTGCTGTGGTGGTTCAGAGGTCGTCGTCGTCGTCGTCGTCGTCGTCGTCGTCGTCCTCGTCGTCCTCGTCGTCCTCGTCGTCGTCGTCGTCGTCGTCGTCGTCGCCGTCGTCATCGTCGTCATCGTCGTCGTCGCCGCCGCCGCCGCCGGCGTCGTCGCCGCCGCAGCCGTCGTCGTCGTCGTGATCGTTGTCGTCGTCGCCGTCGCCGTCGCCGTCGTCGTAGTCGTCGCCGTCGTCGTAGTCGTCGCCGTCGTCGTCGTCGTCGTCGTCGTCTCTGGGACCATACCATCTGGGGGGGGGGGGGGGCCGAGGAATCCTGGGACCATACCATCCGGGGGGGGAGGGGGGGGGCCCGTGGGCCCGGAGCCCGGGATCAGATATGGCCAGAATTGTCCCCGACAGCCGCCAGACAGGGCTCCCGAGAGAGATCTCAAGCTGTTCCAAGAGCCAAAAGGTCCCTTGACGCCCCAAGAGGCCTTGCAGGAATTGTCCAGATGACCACGGCAACTGCAAAGCTTTCCAACACCCAAGGAAGATGACTTTTTTTTTGTTGCTTCGCAGGCTTTTCGACGCGAGACAGGTCCAAGACGGCTTCGGGGCAGACTCTTGGGCTCCTTGCGGGCCACCTTGGGCCTTCTGGGGGCCCCCATCGAGCCTCCTGGGTTGTTTTCGGGGCCGTCTCGGTCCGTCTTCGGGCCGTCTTAGGGCCCTCTGGGCGGTCTTTGACTGCCTCAAGAGAGCCCAAGGGCGGCCCCAGAGGGCTCCCAGAATATTGCAGAAGGCTTCGGAGAGCTTCCAGACGGCCCGACACACCAGGACGGCCCAACAGACCCCCAGAGAACCCCGAGGAGACGGCCCAGGACGGCCCCAAGAGGGCCCAACGAGGCCCCCAATAGTTTCGGCCCTAGGGCCCCCCAGCACGGCCTCCATATCTGGAAGCACACAAGCCAGCAGCGGCAGCACTTAGTCGCTAGCAGCAGGAAACACGCAGCCGCTGCATTGCCCGCGGCCGGCTGGCGGCCATCCCCGCTGCCGTGGCGTGCGGCGGAGGGTCAGTTGCGACCGCCAGGCCTGCCAGCATATTGGCAGTGACGTCGGGAGGACAAGCGCCTGGCTGCCAGCTACGCGCGCAAGACAGCAGGCAGGCAGGCAAACGATCTCAGCTTCTGGACGCGGGCAAGCTGTCGTGGACGGTGCAGGTAGGGGGCTTTCCGTTCCACCTGGCCTGCCCTGTGTAGTTTCGCACTCCATTTAACCAGTGCGCTTTGAGGGCGACCATAGCGTCCGCCCTGAGCAGTTTACCATTTCCCTGGGGGGTGCGATGCGTCTCCTCGGGCTCAGAGGACAGGTAGCCCCTGTTCATTTTCAAGCTGTCGTGGACTTAAGAGTCCACACGTCAGCTCCAGTCTCTATGACATTGCAGGGACGTGCGCGTGCGCGAAGGAGGTGCAGCGCTGGCGCCCCCGCGCGTTCGTCGGGCGGCCTCGGCCGGCTCAGGGCGTCTCTGGGCGGCTCCAGCGCGCCCCAAGATGGCCCTCCTCCTCCTCCTCCTCCTCCTCCTCCTCCTCCTCCTCCTCCTCCTACTGCTCCTCCTGCTCCTCCTCCTCCTCCTGCTCCTCCTCCTCCTCCTCCTCCTCCTCCTCCTCCTCCTCCTCCTCCTCCTCCCCATGACGGTCCCAGGGCCTCCACGACGGCCCAGGAGCGCTCCAAGAGGCCCCAGATTCTCCAAAACGGCTCCGCGCGGCCCCAAAGGGGACCCCCTGAGCGTTCCAAGAGTCGTCTCGAAGGGGCCCCAGAGGCCAGAATGGCCGATTTCCCATGTTTTTTAAACAAGGCTTTTGACATGCTTGCCTTTTCGTGCTTCCGACGCTCCAGGCGGGCCCCCGAGGCCGCCGGGATCGCCCTTCGACGGCTCAAGATCGCCCCAAGACGGCCCACGAATCTCCCAAGAGCGTCCCGAGGCGGTCCAAGGGGCCCCCAAGACTGCCCCAAGAGGTCCCCAAGGCGGCCCACGAGAGCGCAGCACCGGCCCCAAGAGGCCCCCAGGATGCCCCAGATGCTTCCCAAACGGCTCCGCGCGGCCCCGAGTGGACTCCCTGAGCGTTCCAAGACTCCTCCCAAAGGGCGCCCAGAGGCCAGAATCGTCGATGTATCATTTTTTTTGTAAAAAAACACGGCTTTTGGCTTGCTTGCCTTTTCGAGCTTCCGACGCCATAGGCGAGCCCCACAGGCCGCCAGGATCGCCGCTAGACGGCTCAAGATCGCCCCAAGCTGGCCCACGAATCTCCCAAGAGCGCCCCGAGACGGTTCAGGAGGTCCCGAAGACTGCCCTCCAGCCGAACAAGAGCGGACCACGGGGGCTCGGCTCAACTGAGATAGCCCGGGGGCCCCCTCTATCCCTCCTCCCGTCTCCTGCCCCCCTCCTCGCCAAATATGTTGTGCCGACGACGATTCCAGCTGAACCTGTCTCCATATAGCGTTCACCCATCTTCATAAACAGAGATACTCCGACAGGGCGGCGACCGCGACGACGACGACGACGACGACGACGACCACGAAGACGACGACCACGACGACGACGACGACCACGACGACTCGGGCTGAACCTGTTTCTCTAAAGCGGTAAACCCGTCTTCATAAAAAGGTATATTCCGACAGGGCTGCGACCGCGACCACGACCGCCACGACAACGACGACGACGACGACGACGACGACGACGACGACGACGACGACGACGACGACGACGACGACGACGACGACCGGGGAGGCGACGACCACGACGACTCCAGCTGAATCGGGCTCCCCAAAAAGTGAGCACGTCTCCGTAAAGCCGAATACTCCGACTGGGCTGTGACCACGACCGGGCCGTGTCCGAGGAAGCGCCCAGGAAGGCCCCGAGACGGGCCGAGACGGCCCCCCCCGCACAGCCCGAGGCGCGCTGCGACGGCCCCGAGAGAGCGCCAGCGCGGCCCCTGCGGGGCCCAGGACGGCCCGAGGAGGCGCCCAGGAGGGGCCCAGGACTGGCCGAGGCGGCCCCCCTTTAGGGCCCCCGACGGCCCCAGGGCAGCCCCCCGAGAGAGCGCCAGCGC